GGCTTCTCTTCTAGGGTTTGTGAGCGCACAGCTGCTGCGCTGGCTGAGTCCCCGGAAGCCCCGCAAATCATGCTTCCCTTCCACCCCTGCCGCGTCCTGCAGGGATCCGCTGCTCCTGCGCTGAAGGGAAAGCAGAAGGCGGAAGGAGAGGTGATTTCGGGAGCTCTTTGTCTCCTCCAAGCTTCCTACACCGCAAGGTCCCGCGCCTTCTGGCTGCAGCATCCTTTGGCACAGCGCTGCGCCGCGCTCAACCGCGAATTCTCGCCTGGCGCGCCAGCTCGGTGCCTTCGGGGCTTCTAGCTGCCTTTCCAGAGTGTCCTGACCTTGCCGCGGTCTCCCCAGGGCCCGGGAATCTCCAGGAATCTTCCCTCCAAGGCTCAATAGGTCCGGAGCAGCGCCCGCGAGAGAAATCGAAAGTTCTTGGGTTTTGTCTGGCGCTGTGTCGGCGCTGCGGCAGCTGCAGCCCGTCACCGCTGAGAGGAAGGTGGGCTAGCGAGGCCATGTGCCCCCCACGGGCACTAAAGTGGCGAAACACGTCCGGCTGAGGCAGCCGGCCTCTCCCAGCGCGCACACGTGTGCCCAGAATTATAATACAATATAACACATCGTAATATCGGGTATTATACCGCGTTTACCTGCCATTCGGATGTGTACGTTGTGTTGGGCTGTGCTTACGTGTTTGTTACGACGTGCTGCAACACTGTATCTCCCGACCCCACCACCACGTGTCCGCGCCTTCTGGCTCACTGCACCCTCCAGGCGGGCAGGGCTCGGGTCTCCCGGTGGGCACTCTCGGGCCGGGAGAGGGAAAGGCACTTGCTCCAAGTCACCCAGCTCAAAAGGGGCAGGGCTTGGGTTGGAACCCACAGCCTGGGGACTGGCCTGGAGGTGAAAGGCAGACTTCCCCCAGACCGCTGGTCAGGAAGACGTCCTACACCAGAGCTGCTCTTTCTGGACTCCCCGACAGCGTGCGTGTATGTTATTGCATTCTCCCCATCTGGCTGAGAGCTGAGGCCGGCTGGTCTCCAGCTCGGGGGAGGAGGAGAAGATCCCCGCATCTCCGTCCAGCCTGCCCGCCGCCGCCTCTCCCTTCCTCGCTTCCCCTAATAACCGTCCAGCATCACTCAGCAAAGGAGAAGGGGGCTTCAGTTCTGAGATGCAGATTACAGAGCCCTTGTTCCCAAAACTACCTTCCTGCCCACCTCCCTCAGTTACAGTGGGGAATGGGGACCCACTGGTGCTGGTTCCAGAGAGAGTGTTCTTAGCCGCTGTGACTTTGGGACACACAAAAGCGCTGGGTCTCCTCTCTCAGGGGGAGAGGGTTCATCCACAGGGTTAAAGATTGAATAAATGGGCTGGGGATTTAGCTCAATGGTTGCACTGCCTGCCTCGCAAGCGCAAGGTCCTGAGTTCGATCCCCGGTACAAAAAAAAAAAAAGATTGAATAAAGTCTTTGACACAGGGTGATGGCTCAAGACCCCACAGTAACTTGGGGAGAAGGGATCCTCCCCACCACCTGAGCTTCACTCCTCTCTGTGTCCTGCTGGCCAGGAAAGAGCATAGGTGCATGTTTGGACAGTCTCAGGACACATGTTTAATCCTCTCTCTAGCTGAAAAAGTCAGGGACCACTGTGCCCCAAAGAATCCCTGAAAACTGATCGCCAATAACCAGACAGTCCACCTGGAGCTCCAGAGTGGGCACTGGTCTCCTGCAGACCCTCCTACCCTCAGGCACAGGTCTCCACCGAGAAAGAAGGAATCAAGGTCCAGCGAAGCAGCACTGGAGCAGTTCAGGCTCCTGCCCCAACAAGCATGAGGGTTTTTTCAAACAGCCAAGTTCCTGGGGAAACTTCATGGACAAATCGCGGGGATTTGTTAGGGTAGAGCCAGGCTCTATTTTTGAGCCTCTTTTGATCTTGGTTAAAATATTCAGGAAAAGCCCCCTTCCCTGTCCCGACCCTTGAGAAAATGAAAAGTTTAGAAATTGACTCCTGTTGGTGAAATTGGTACCCAATGGAGGTGAGATCTGATAGGCTTTTCCTAAACTGAAAAAGTGGGCAAAATTGTCCCAAATTCTGGTCCACTCTGCCACTGCCCCTTGACCCTGGCTCAGTCTGAGGAGCAACAGCCGCTAAGTGTGGGGAGCCAGCTTCAGACATAGTGCTCTTTTTGTTTCTGGGTTTTCTCTTTGTTTTTTGTTTCTTTTGTTGTCTTTCAAGGTAAAGCTTCTGCATCCACACTTTTCCTGAGAGAATGGACACGAAAGCAAAAGAAGTGATTGCCGGAAAATGTTGATCTGGCTCCTCCTCTCCCTTATACACTGGGGTGTTAAGATGTTGGGGGCATTTAGAGATCCTGTCCCTGGACAACTGAGAGGGTTCCTTTAATGCTCTACTGGTGTTCATGGTGCTGCCGGGCACCTCTGTTTGGGAAGCCTGGTAGGCACCTTTAAAGCTCTAACCCAGGGCATGAGAGCACCTCAAAGCCCACACAGCTTCTGGAGGAGGCCAAGGTGACAATCACCACAGCCAGCATCAACACATCCTCCCTTCCTAGCTCTATCCTGGCCTTGGGGCATTGGGAAATTTGCCAGGGGGAAAAATCTAGAAGCATCTCCCACTCCCGAGGGTGGATGCTCTGGGGTCAGACCCGGAGAACTCGCTTGTGCCGACACAGTCTGGAGAGTGGTCCCCGTAAGAGTGGGTTTTGACTGCCTGGCAAATCCAGAAAATTCTAGGTAATTCAGTGGAACATCTAGGTAACTGGCAATTTTGCCTGGGCAGCCAGTTCAAGCCAGCATACAGGAGTTTAGTCCAGCTGAGTTATTTTCGTTTTGTCTTTAATTCAGAATGCTCCATTTGAGTCGGAGTTCCGCGGAGGGTCACACAGAGAGCTGCCCATCCGGGCGATGACCACTCCTAGATCTCAGTGGTCTCTGGTCTCCTCCAAGCCCCTAGAGCAAGTCCTGGGGGCCCGGAGGGGAGGGTGGCAGGGAGCGAGGGGTTCAGACCCTGGGGCACCCAGAGAGGATGACATAAGTGGCGCTGATGAGCGACACAGAGGATCCGAAGCAGCGTGGCCTCTGGGATTGCCTCACACCCTGGAGCCAGCCAGGCCCAGACACGTTCAGAAATGTGCTGGATGCCTGCCCCAAGAGGGCCACCAAGTTGGGCAGCAGCCGGGCGAAGCTGGTCACAGGCTGGCGCTGAGCAGCAGCCACAGAGGGTCCTCCGTGGGGGAGAACTCTCCACCTCTGCCTGTTTGGTTTAGGTTCCCCACACACACAACACACCATGTTTGTGTGCCTCCTGGGGACAGGGTTCAGTCTGCAGCCTGTGGAGCCCCAGCTGTAACTGGAGGGGCTCAGGCAAGGATTTGGCACGGAATGACTGACACACACACTATTGACTGCAACTGAGGTCTCCCGCTGACTTTGAGCTCTGATTAGCAAAGGACCGTCGTGTCCCAGCTGGGTGAACAGGGCCCAGCACAAAGCCTGAAACTAACAATATTTATTGGATGAATGAATGAAACCCCCAAAATCACGTTTTCAATCTTAAGGTCACTTCCTGTGGGACACTGAATGTCCCTCTCTCTGGCCTCTGGGTCCTCTGCCTTATAGAACATGCATGGTCTTTTGGTCCTAACAGCCACTTCCAACTTAGTCATAATAGGTGATAACCACAAAACATCTGACATTAATTGACCACCTATACTGTTCTACACTCTCCCGACAACCATTAGGGCTGGTGGGTATCCTCTATCCCCATCTTAAAGATGAGGTTTTGGAATTCCAAACAGAAGCTCGAACAGGCTAACTCCGGCTGCCCAGTTCGAGTGAGGATTTGATGACGTGCGAATGCCGAGCCAGGGTTGCTGCAGGGCCCTCAGTGTGGCCTCTATTTCCCCCAGTTGAACAGTTTCTACACACACCCTGCCAACAGCACGACCAGTTCTGGCCCTGGCTTCTCCCCTAGTCGTCGATCTGAAGCCTAGGAGTCCAGCCAGGCCAAGCTGCGACGCTTGCAAGAGCCTGGGAGCAGCTCCGGACGCGCAGGTCGGCGCCTGGGCAGCCGTGTTCCCGCGCGCGCCTTCTCTTGGGGCTGGAGGAAAGGAGTCAGCCGGCAAGGCAAGGCTGCTGCGATAGAAAGATTGCTTGGAATTCCTAAAGCCCCTCACGACCTAGATGTCCACAGGCCACCGGCAGAAAGAGTCCAGAGAAAGGTCACCCCGAAGGCAGAGGTGATGACCGGAGCCAGGAAGCATTCGCAGCGCCCCGCGCCCAGTTTGCGTCTTTACGCATCGGCGAATCGCGCCCCGCGCCGGCGCAAATCTGGGTCTCGCGGCCTGGGCTCGGGTCCCACAGGGTTTGGCCACAGCGTCCTCGTCAGTGTAATGAATGGAGCGAGAAAAGAAGGGGCGGGGAGGGAGGGGGCTTCGTGAGGAAGGTGAAATATCTTGGAAATAATACACCGAGAGAAGGAGGCAGGGACGCGGTTTATCAGCGCCCCGCCCCCACTGCCCGCAGGTTTAAAACCCCTAAGTAATTTTAGATTGTGTCTTCAGTTAATATATCTCTCTCCCTTTCCCGGGGGCTGACAGGGAAGCGCCGTCGCTGCAAGATGTCTGTAGAAAAGGGTCTCTAAGAGTTTCCATATTGTTTAGCTACACAAACGTGTTTGTGGTTCCCGGGGCCCTCCCCTGACTCCCCCCCCC